GTCAGGCTGGGGGAGGGGGAGCATTGGGGTTGGGTTGGGGGGAGGGGTGGTTTTGGTGGAGGTGTTGAGTTGCGGGGGGGAGCGTTGGAGTTCTGTTGTGTTAATTTTGATGGATTATATGGGCCTAAAAAGTTAACGTGACCCAGTCACCGTCCAGCATCAAACTCGATGTTAAAGAAGGTTCAGAGTCGGTATACAGACCTCAGGCTGTTTAATACCAGGGCAATTGGCAAACACATTATAAATCCTCTTTAAGTTTTCAATAAAGGTACAGGAAATGAAGGGGGGGAAACAATTCAGCATTTGAAATGTAAAGTATTTAAATAAGGCTTTCTTTTTAACAACATCCCTTGTTCACTTTTGTGTTAGCTATAGAGAGTCTGTAGAAGGAAAAGCCTCCTTGTTAGTTGAGATGAGCTGGTGATGGTGTTAAAATCCAATCCAATTTTCTAGAAGAAAAACAAGACAAATACAAGAGAGCAGAGGAAAAAAACAGCAAAGAAGGAAAATGCAGTTTTTGTCTCCAGTGTTGACTCGCTTACTGGAGAAACACAGACCTAGTACGTGGTCTTGTTGGCCACTCCAAGTACTGGCAACTTATACCAGCATCAGGCTATCTACAGCCATGGTTCTCAACCTTTCCAGACTACTGTAGCCCTTTCTTACATACTCTACATGTCACCTCATTTAAAAACTACTTGTTTACAAAATCAGTCATAAGTATCACAGCACACTATTACTGAAAAATTGCTTACTTTCTGATTTTTACCCTATAATTATAAAATAAATGGATCGGAATATAAATATTGTACATACGTTTCAGTGTGATACTTGAGCCTGTTTTTCACTTGTGAGCCTTATCTGAAGCCAGAGCAAGCCCCAGCAGCAGGGCTGAAGCATGTAACTTAGCTTTGCAGGGCCCCCTGTGGCACGGGGCCCTGGGCAGTTGTCCTGCTTGCCACCCCCTAATGCTGGCTCTGCACTTATGATCCCCTGAACCCATCCTGTGATCCCCCCTTGGGTCTGCAACCCCCCAGTTTGAGAAACACTGATCTAGATGAGTTGAGTTACCCCCTGGAAGATCTTTATATACCCCCAGGGGTACGTGTAACCCTGGCTGAGAACTACTGATCTGCAATTATGTCATTTTTATCCTGATTCTGATCTGGGCTTCAGAATGATTTGCGCTAGATAGAATTGGTCAAATTCAGAGCCAGTAGCAAGAGTATAAATTAATGGTGATATCCTATCTCCTAGAACTGGAAGGGACCTCAAAAGGTCATCCAGTCCAGCCCCCTGCCTTCACTAGCAGGACCAAGTACTGATTTTGCCCCAGATCCCTAAGTGGCCCCCTCAAGGATTGAACTCACAACCCTGGGTTTAGCAGGCCAATGGTCAAACCACTGAGCTATCCCTTCCCCCCGCATTATATTAGTAATAATTTTATAGGTGTTTATGCTAGGCAATTTAACAGACTACTAAGAACAAAATTAGTCTTAAAAAGATGTATTTGTGTTGGGTAGCTTGACTGCAGAATTTTCTGCTTGTGTGAAAGCAGTGAGCCAGGCGTCTTTACACTCTAAAGCACAGGGTTTAGCCTTTAGGCCCTGTAAAACTGAATCAATTTTTTTTTTTGATGGGATGGAGAAGAGGACATAAAAAAGCCAGTTTTTGGAACCCATTTTTTGAACTTATTTCTACATTCAAATTGATAATAAATATGTCCCCTTTCTGCCAAACCAGTCTGAAAACCAAATTAACTACTATATGATATTCTGAAAAGGCCTGTGTGTGTTCGGTCAGGGCTCTGATCTATAGAGACAAACACTTCCATTGAGTCTGTGGAGTGACAGACTAAACATTCCCAATGAGCACTGTTCAGTTGACTATCTCACAGTTGAGGATTAATGAACATTCCATGTTAAATATAACCTCTTAGCAAGTGGTCAGATGGCACGTGCAATCTTAGCAAATCAAGTTTAGAATGCATGTTTTGATCAGAGTGCTGCAAAGAGAGAGAAGCCTGGGCAAAGAATTATGGGAGGTGAACATAGTTGTAACTAGGATATTGAGAATTAAGGGTGGGAAAAGAAAAGGGTAGATCTTTATATTTAAAAACATCTATATTTATGGCTAATTATCATAAAGAATTATACAATTTGTAGGGCTGTCAAGCGATTAAAAAATTAATCGCGTGATTAATTGCACTGTTTAAATAAATGGTATTCTATTATTGTTTAATATTTTGGATGTTTTCTACATTTTCAAATAAATTGATTTCAGTTATAACACAGAATGCAAAGTGTACAGTGCTCACTTTATATGTATTTTTTATTACAAATATTTGCACTGTAAAAACAAAAGAAATAGTATTTTATTATTCACCTAATAGAAGTATTGTAGTGCAATCTCTTTATCATGACAGTTGAATTTACAAATGTAGAATTATGTAAAAAAACCAAACTGCATTCAAAAATAAAACAATATAAAACTTTAGAGCCTACAAGTCCATTCAGTCCTATTTCTTGTTCAGCTAGTCGCTCAGACAAACAAGTTTGTTTACGTTTGCAGGTGATAATGCTGTCCACTTCTTGTTCACAATGTCACCTGAAAGTGAGAAACAGGTGTTCTCGTGGCACTGTTGTAACTGGCGTCGCAAGATATTTATGTGCCAGATGCACTAAAGATTCCCTTCATGCTTCAACCACCATTCCAGAGGACATGCGTCCATGCTGATGACAATGCAAAGCAGTGTGGACCGACACATGTTCATTTTCATCATCTGAGTCAGATGCCACCAGCAGAAGGTTGATTTTCTTTTTTGGTGGTTTGGGTTCTGTAATTTCTGCATCGGAGTGTTGCTTTTTTAAGACTTCTGAAACCATGCTCCACACCTTGTCCCTCTCAGATTTTGGAAGGCACTTCAGATTCTTAAACCTTGGATTGAGTGGTGTAGCTATCTTTAGAAATCTCACATTGGTACTTTCTTTGCGTTTTGTGAAATCTGCAGTGACAGCGTTCTTAAAATGAACAACCTGTGCTGTGTCGTCATCTAAGACTGCTATAACATTTAATATATGGCAGAATGCAGGTAAAACAGAGCAGGGGACATACAATTCTTCCCCAACCAGTTCAGTCACAAATGTAATTAACACTTTTATTTTTTGGATGAGTGTCATCAGCATGGAAGCATGTCCTCTGGAACGGTGGCCGAAGCATGAAGGTGCATATGAATGTTTAGCATATCTGGCTTGTAAATACCTTGCAATGTGAGCTACAAAAGTGCCATGCAAATGCCTGTTCTCACTTTCTGGTGACATTGTAAATAAGAAGAGGGCAGCACTATCTCCCTTAAATGTAAACAAACTTGTTTGTGTTAGCAATTGGCTGAACAAGAAGTAGGACTGAGTGGACTTGTAGGCGCTGAAGTTTTGCATTGTTTTGTTTTTGAGTGCAGTTATGTAACAAAAAAAAATCTACATTTGTAAGCTACACTTTCATGATAAAGAGATTGCACTACAGTATTTGTATGAGGTGAATTGAAAAATACTATTTCTTTTATTGTTTTTACAGTGCAAATATTTGTAATAAAAATAATATAAAGTGAACAGTGTACACTTTGTATTCTGTGTTGTAATTGAAATCAATATATTTGAAAATGTAGAAAAGCAATCAAAAATATTTAATAAATTTCAATTGGTATTCTGTTGTTTAACAATGCGATTAAAATTGCGGTTAATCGTGATTAATTTTTTTGAGTTAATCACGTGAGTTAACTGCGATTAATTGACAGCCCTAATTTTTAGATTATATAATAATAAAGGATAGTTTCCATTGATGTTTATGCACAACTTCCATGAACAGTCATTTCTACATGGAGAAGAGGCTATATTCCTCAATTTACAGTCTTGTATTACATTCAGATTACATATACTATTGTGTTCTTTAATATTAAATATTAGTATTTCATTATTTTGTTGAATCCTTCGATCAGAAGTAGGTGAAACACATTTGTTGAAAGAATAAACTTCTTTAACACTTCTTCCTAGTAATTATCAGGTGTCTAATGATTTCTATTTGACCTATTACTCCACCAGGTGGCACTGTTTCCAGTGAGAGAACGATTGTATTTAACTTTCACAAAAAAATAGTATGGTTCTTCCAACAAATTCATAGAGTTTAAGGACAGAAGGGACCACTAAATCATCAAGTGTGACCTTCTGTATATCACAGGCCATAAAACTTCATCCAGTTACCCCTGCACATGTTTGAGTAATGCATAATTTGTGTTTGGCTAAAGCGTAACTTCCAGAAAGGCAACCAGTTTTGATTTGAAGACATCAAGAAATGGAGAATCCACCACTTCCCTCAGTACCCTGTTCATCACAATTACACAATCTTCCGCTTTCAGCAAGGGCTGTCCTTGTAAACCTACCTGCTTACCATGTTGTGTGAATAATATCTGTAATGTGTTACAGAAGAGACACTGAGCACATCTATGAAGGAAGAGACTTGTCCATTCAGTATAGCATTCGGCAGAGAAAAGAAGAACGTAAACAGATTTGCAAGAGATTACCTACAAACAGAAGTATCAATGGCCAAGGAGTTCCACTTTGAACCTGCCAGTTTATTCAACCATGTTTTAGTATGAAACATCATCATATATGTTTAAAATAATTCTTTGGCACAAAAATAAAAATGCATCTCAGGTTTTAAGATTTTCAGCCAAAGAATCCAATCCAATCCAAAATGGGCATTAAGGTATTGGGGAATTGTATATCTTTTGGAGTAGGCACAACGGTGCTATCTATATAAAGTAAAGAAATAATATTTGAATATACATACTGCTTACAGGTTTCAGAGTAGCAGCTGTGTTAGTCTGTATCTTTTTGCGGATACAGACTAACACGGCTGTCCCTCCTGTTCTTCTTTATACTGCTTACAGAGCACCAAAGTACAGCGGTATGTTTCTCTCAGGTTGTTTTGGTAGGATAGACATTTATTAAGCATATTAATGCTTACTGCTTAATTAACCTGTGCCCCAGACAACTACAACTTGGCCAGTCATGCTTCCAAATATTAAGAAGAGAAAGACAGGTTCTGCAGCACACAGCAGGATCTCTTTCTTTCTCACATCATTACTCTCAGCATTTCCAACAAGGTACCAAGTTTGCTGCATTTTGTCCAAGGGAAGCATGGCAGTGTTATGAATGTTTGTATTACCTAAACACCACCATTTCTAAAAATAATGGTGGGGAAGGTGTAACAAATGCCTTTTAGTTATGCAGAGGGTAAGGACTGGAGTTAAAGGAAGCGGTACAAGATGAGATAACTCGGTTGAAGGATTCAGATGTCATTTATAAAAATGCCAGAACTTCTCAATTGATGTACAGTGTGCCTGTTCATCCAGCTGTGGCCCCCATTCATATATGTAAATATACAAATTTCTAGTCATGCAGTGGCATTTGGGAGGGATGTCTTCATGAGCCTCCCGTCTGCTTTGTTTTGGCTTATGGAGGACTCTCCAGCATTTAGGGACATCTTTGTATAATGTGATATTCGAGTGAGGTGAGGGCAATATTGATCCTAGGACACAAGTTTATTTCTTGATGACTCCGGAACATCACTTATCAAACTGACTGCTGTGCAGTTTTGTGCTTAGTTTGTTAACATCGAAGTGGCCAGTAGTACTTCCAAAGAGTTTGTTGACATTTTCATTTTATAGTTACGGCCTTTTATTTTACTTGCTCTGTTTAATGGGGTTAAATGCTACCATTCTGATTTAGTGGCATTTTACACTCAGATTTCGCTGCTGGAAATGACTACACAAGGTGTAGGGCAACAGAGTCCGGCCCTAAATTTGTAAAGGGCTTATAATTAATAAATTCAATTTATACATTTTAATACACTTTTTATTGAAAAGGATATTTAAAAATAAATCTACATAATATGATCATTTTACAATATGTTCTTAATAGTAGTTTGTAGCATTATCTCTGTACTGGATGGCTGCTTTCTGCAGTTAGCTTGTTAACACTGAAAGAAATCCCATGTAATGTGGTATGTTAAGTGACTGAATTTTCATTATGAAAATGATAAACACAGATGAGAGTCTGCTTTCCCCGCCCCCTTTCACTCCTGGTAATGCAGATCTTTCGTGTCAGTTATTATTCCTGCAGGCAATTGATCATTTTCCGCCTGATTAATAACCATGAGCCTGTTCCAACAAGTTAACAGGAGAACATGCTTTATATTGGTGAGCTGACCATATGAAATGTGTTCTAGTTCTTGCTAATTATTTAGCACTAATTGCATCACACTTTTTAGGTGGAAAGGCAGGATCAGAATTCTACAGGACTTGAAAAGTACACAAAAGGCCTAGTTAGTTAGAGGCTGATAGTAAAAAAATGGTGAGTGGTCCTGGAAGAATAACACACCAGTAAGATCAGTCAGCCCTCAGCTGTAAAGAAAGGGAATGGTTCTGGGACTCTGCCCTGGACTGGGCTTGGAGACAGACTATTTCATATCTGCCGATGGGTGGTAGGTATTTGATACATTTAAATATTATCCATCCAATCCAACCTCCATTTTACACTGCAAGAGAGAATGTGCTTTATTTTATTGGCTCCTGGCTTCAGGAAGTTTAGTTTTCTGGTTAGTAGGTGTTTCACTGTTTGTTGTTTTATCTCAAATGAGCTGGTCTTTACTAAATGCTATTGTCATTGAGAAAAGCTGAGTTTAAACACTTCTTAACATCTAGAGAATGGGTGATGATGATGATGACAACGACATCCCTCAGCTTTCATCCCATACGCTGGCTGCCCTGCAGGAGTTCTATATAGATCAGCGACAGAGAGAGGGCACAAAGATCTCCCAAGGGTTTAAACAGTATTCCGTTGGCTCAATAGAGGAGGACTGGGTAAGAAACTAAACTTCAGAGTCTGCAATTCAATTACTTGTAGTGCCCAGTTACAGAGGAGCAGAAATGTGAGGCTTCTTTTGGGAAGTGAAGAGGAAGGGGGAATGAAAAAGGGCATTTTCAAGAGTGGGGGAATCTAATGATGCTGCTTCCACACTATAAAAGTCAAAGTCTCCTTGACTTGTTATTGAAGCTGGATGTGGTGTTTTTTGTTTGCTTGTTTGTTTTATCTGGCACTAATTGAAATTGACATGGAGGGTGGGAGGGGGGAAGGGAGAAAAGATGCCAAGACAAGTAGCTGCCCTCTCTAGAAATTTTAGTTCCAGACTGAGAGGGTGGAGGAAGTACAGATTTTTCCTTTGGTGCGTGTGTGTGAAAGAGATGCAATTGCGACACTGTAATAATGTGGAAATAGCACACTCTTCCCTCTCTTCTCCCATCATGCCTCTCTGTTTTTTACCTACCTTACTTGGACAGGTGACTTGTCCCTTCTTACCTGTGACTGATGATTCTGGCCATGAGGTTTTCTGGCTCTCCTTTTCCTGTTCCCCGCCCCTTCCCCCCCTTTTTTTTCTGATTGCTGTCATCCCTGACTTTCTCCTTCCTACCCTCTATCTCATTTTCCTTTTCTTCACTGCTACCACTTTCTTGACTTTTCCCATCTCTCCACCCTGGCTATCTCCTTGCCTTTCACAGTCCTGAGCTGGTATAAACTGTTCCCAACCTCAAAATAAATGAATGACTTCTTAATAACACAATTTTAAACTACTTAAAGACTGGGAGTTAAAATATCTGCACACTGCAGGTAAACAATATATTTGGATTTGGATTCAGCATTGGTAACAGGGCAAAGGTACTAAATAAAGGAATGATCTAAATAGTCTGATATAGCTTGGTTTTGTTGAAACAGTAATAGATTTTTATAAAACTCTGACAACATGTAAGTGTGAAGTAGCTACTATTTATCGGCCTGAAATACTAGTTTATAGAGGAAATAACAAAACTGTCAGTAAAGAAATCTCTTTTCCAGCTCAGTTAGTAAGAGTTGTTCAGATGTGCAGGATTGCAATTTATGATACAAAAAAGTTGTTGTGGATTTTGGTTTTCCTAGAATGGGGCTGATCTTGGTTAACAAAAAGTGTCATATACTGCCCAGTCAGAAAGACTGATGCTGTCAGTAATTGTTTGTGCATGATTTTCCCCAGCAGTTGAGCCAGTTTTGGTATGATGATGAAACTGCATTGTGCCTGGCTAATGAAGCTGTTCTGGCAGCTGGAAGAGGTGGCAGGTAGGTTTTCTTAATTATTTTATAAATTAAACATTTTGTGCTTCTTCTTACTTAAAATGTTCTAGGTAGGCTACTTTCAATCATGTTTCTCTAGATAGTACAGAAAAATCAGAATTTTGGTAGTAAGAAGTAGAAATCCAGATTAGACAAACACCTGTCAGGGATGGTCTAGATAATACTTAGTCCTGCCGTGAGTTCAGGGGACTGGACTAGATGATCTCTCAAGGTCCCTTCCAGTTCTATGATTAGCAGTCACTTCATGGTTAGACCACAGGACTGGGAGTTGGAAGGCCTGGATTTTAATCCTGACTGTGACTGATTCCCTACGTGGCTCTGAGCAACTCATTAACCAGCCTAGTTGATCACACTTACCATATCTACCTCATGGAGTGTTTTGCAGCTTAATATTTGTAAAGTGCTTTATGGTTCTTGAGTAGAGGTGCTGTACAAATGTTTATCTTTCATTTTATTAATAACTAACAACACCACACCAGTCAGCATGTCCGTTATTTTAAACTTCTGCTCTTAGGATAGGTCTACATTACTGCTTGAGTCGATCTAACTTGCGTCACGTAGGGGTGTGAAAAAGATACCCCCATGAGCAACGCAAGTTACAGCGACCTAAGCACTGTCCACACTGGCGCTGTATCAGCAGGAGATGCTCTCCTACCTACATAGCTTCCGCCTCTCGCGGAGGTGAAGTAATTATGGCGACAGGAGAGGTCTCTCTCCTCAGCATAGAGCGTCTTCACCAGACATGCCACAGAGGTGCAGCTGCACTGATGTAGCGTTCCTAGTGTAAACCTGCCCTTAGGCATGTTTGTAGGGAGAGAGACTGGAAGCTTCACTCCGGATTGCTTTCTTCACACAATAAAAACCACAGACTAGAGTCCTTTTTTATGTTTTGTTTTGGGGTTCTGTTTGTTTTTATTTTTTAAATTGTGACTTAGTTTCCCCCTTTCTTATCCCCCTCTGTCCATTAAAATAACATAACAGGAAATCTTGTTTTTTCCCAAAAATTCGTCTTTGAAAAAAATTATTTTGAATTTTATTATTAAAATTTCAATTCTGTTTGCATATTGCTATAAAACAAGCTTTGCTCAGTAAGTAGTGCTTAAGTACCCAGTGCAGCAAGGTACTAAAGCATACATTTAAGCATATTGCTGAATCAGGGCCTAAAAACCTACCGTATATACTCGTTCATAAGCCGAATATTTTTGGTTTGGTAAAAAAGTGATGCATCAGAGCGGGTGTCGGCTTATAAACGGGTCTACACCAAAATTTGATGATTTTAAACTCTATGGAATAATTGAATTGAATATCTGATACATTGTCATTTTGTTTACTTGGAGTGTCTGCAGGCATGGAGCCCCTCAGCTCCGTGTGGCCGCGGTTCGCTGTTCCCAGCCAATGGGAGCTGCGGGAAGTGGCGCCGCTTCCCGCAGTTCCCATTGTCTGGGAACAGCAAACCGCGGCCACTGGGAGCTGAGGGGCTCCGTGCCTGTGAACGCTCCAGGTAAACAAAAAGCCAAAGTTTTCCAACCCCTGAAATATAGGGTCGGCTTATGAAAGGGTCATACAGTTTTTGCTATTTTTGCCTACCCATTTTGGGGGGTCAGCTTATAAACGAATGGGCTAATGAAGAGTATATACGGTAATATATTTATAATATATTAAACCTATATTAATTATTGTAATTACATTTGTTTTGAGAATGTGTATGGGCTTATCTGTCTGCTGAGAGCTTTATTTTTTTTTTAGGCTAAGCTAAATACTAGTTCTGAGCTTTGTTGTTACAAATCTGCTTCCAAATCCTAATTTTTTTAAAATTGTTAAACATTGGTGTCTAGCTGTAAGATGTACATGCAGACTTTCTGCATGTTCCTAATGATGATTTCTTGTGAACTGAACACAGATCTTACTACTTAGTTAAATTGAATTGCAAAGAAGAAATATCATTGCAATTCCTTTGGTTTTAAGATAGCTTTGCTGATTAACTTGGCAGTCTGATTCAGAAAGAAACGCAGAAAGGTTATTTTTAGAACTGTAGAAACCTTTGCCAGACTACGCAGTCTAAACCTGAAGTTATCACTATTTGAGTGTCAGAACTATTTATTCCATCATTCTGCTCCTTAGAATACTTGGTATACAAAACTGAATACAGATAGTATGAAGACAGTATCCCATACAATGTTCTTTTCAATGTAACTGATTATCCAGTATCTTGATTGATAGGTTGGTATTTCAAGACCAAAAATATAGCAAGTGTATTTTTTATAGTTATGGTTAAATATATTATTCTTACAGATTATTTGCTTGTTGCTGCTACCAGTTAATGTTCTGTCGTGAACAAATTCAACCAAAGGACTGTAATTACACTAGCACCTGTATTTTATGACTAATTGAGGATTTAAGAGTTCGTTAAATCAAAAATTTCATAAAATGGAACATTTCAAAATTAAAGTAGATATGGCCCATAGAGTGCAGTATGATACACTGCATCATGTTCTTCTTGTTCTTCAAACCACTGCAAAATGATTTCCAGTGCACTGACGGCATTGGACTGTAAAGGGATGTTGAAAATTATGTTTATGAAGAACAAGTCATTGTGATTTTTTTTCTTCCCACGCCCCACCCCGCTTCAGTCAGGAAAAGTGGTTTGTTGAACCTAAGATTGGTCTTTATAAAATCAAGGTTCTACTGTAATTTTAAAGGACATGTCCAGGCCGGTAGGCCTTGAAGAAACCAGAGCTATCAGGTTTGTTTTGTTCACGGATATACACATTCATGTTGCTCTGCCTCTCTTTGTTCTTGTGTGTTGGCAGAGTATTGCAGTTAGAGCGAGGTGGGAAATCGTTTTCCCGTCCTGTGAACATTTTTGAGATTTAAAATTTTTTCTCATTCTGTATCAAGATGAAACCAAGACCTTTTGAGGTCTTTTGAAAAAAACATACAGACACTCCCCACTCCCTTGCCCCTGGAATAACCTGGTGGTCAGGGCACTCGCCTTGGATGTGAGAGTTCCTGGTTTAAGTCCCTGTTTAGCCTGTTTCAGACCAGGGACTTGAGCTGGGTCTCCCACATCTCAGGTGAGTGCTCTAACTACCACACTGTTCTAGAGTGAAGTTAGTTTGCTGAATCACCATTTTCTGACCCAAAACAATTTAATTGAAAAAATCCTGACCAGCTCTAATTGCAATCTCAGGAGCCTTGTTAATTACAATACCCTGTTTGCTGGAAAGAGCAAAGGGAATAAACAAAGCAAAGGGATGAGGCAACATACATTCTTATATTTGGATTGCATGTACATGAAATTGGCACTCTCTATAGAAGGATCACTCAGATGAGAAACTGGGAATAAATCTGTAATGCAATCTAGATTTAATTTTAGAAGGTTCTTCCTGTGCAAATAGATTGGTGTAGCATTTTATTTGTCCTTGTGGAGTTTAAACACAGCCATGGTGAAATCCGCATAGTTTAATAGACTTTTCTGAGGTTAGTCAGCTTGGTGCTACAAGCAGCCATACCATTGATTATCTATGCTGCTGGTACTCTATTATCATTAGCATGATTAGCATGATGTAGTTCATTATTAACCTTCATAACTGTCTGCATGTAAATCCTGTCATTTTTAATACAAAGAGGCAGGCCTTGATCCCTGCTGGGGGACAGCAGATTCTGCTCAAATGAATGCATCATTATGGCTTTTATACTGAGAGGCTTGTTGTGGTTGATTGGTTTGTTCAATGCAAAATTATAGTGAATGTATTAAAAGCAGAAATCCAAGTAAAAGCAAAAGGTTATAACTTAAAAGTGAGGTCCAATTCAAAACCCAGGATCCAAGTACCTCAGAACTTTTGGGGCTTCAAAGAGAGGTCAAAATCCAGATCTAATTTTGCAAATAGACCTGACTTTGGGGTGTTAGAAATCTAAATCTTATGGTCTGCGCCCAATTCTAATATAATCTTTGTCTGTTAAAAAGAAGGTGCTGAATTATTTCTTTTTCTTTTCAGGATAGCGTGTGTTAGTGCTCCAAGTGTTTACCAGAAACTGAAAGAACAGGATGGCAAAGATTTTTCAGTGTGTATACTGGAATATGACAAAAGATTTTCTGTATATGGAGAGGAATTTATCTTTTATGATTACAACAACCCATTGAATTTACCTGGAAATCTCATACCACACAGTTTTGACATAGTATTAGCGGATCCACCCTATCTGTCTGAAGAGTGTCTCAGAAAAACAGCAGAGACAATCAAATACTTAACAAAAGGAAAGATTCTGCTCTGTACAGGTACAGCATCTGTGTTTTTTGAGAGAGGAAAAAATATTCTCGATGTTGTTGCTCTAAATATTTTTATTATCTATTTTGGTGATGTTCCAGTGGAACCCAGGCAGGGGTCCAACAGAACCCTGTCTGCCAGGCAGGTTTATTTCCGGCTTGCCTGCCAAGCTCCTGCCTGCCAGGCCACCCTGCAGTCAGGGACTCCAGAGTCTTCAGGGTCCCTGGCTCTGGGACAGCCCACCAGGCAGACTGGCCTGGAGCAGGGCTCCATTCCCTTTCATGGAGAACTTCAAAAATTCTGGGTTTTGTTCTGAATCAGAACTAACAAGTACTGTTACTATGCTGTAGGTTCTTTAACTGTTCACGTATGTTCCCTAACATTTTAACTGCCCCGAGGGCTGAGATTTTAAACAGTGGCAGAATCCTTCTACGTTACCTTTAGCAATAAATGGGTCTATCAATACACTTGTGCTCCTCGATGAAACGGAATTGCCTTTCTTAGTACAGCTCTAGTTGTATCCTAATTAGGACAAAATGCATTGTTTTTAGGAAATCCTGACCACTGAGCTGTACAGTTTTATAGCCTGTGTATGCCTAATGCCCCTAGTACACATAGGGAATGTGTATTCAATGCCTGGGAATCCCTATATATTTCTGGAGCTGAACACCATTGAGAGTCTGTTCTGTTTATAGAGAGCGATTTGTCTAGTGCTTAGAGCAGCAGTTCTCAAACTGTGGGTCAGGACCACAAAGTGGTGACTCCGTTTTAATGGGGTCGCCAGAGCTGGCTTAGATTTGTTGGGGTCCGGGGATGAAGCCCGAGCCCCACCGCTCAGGGCCAAAGCCCAAGGACTTCAGCCCTGCGTGGAGGGGCTCAGGTTACAGGCCCCCTGCGTTGGGCTGATGCCCTTGTGCTTTGGCTTTTCCTCTCCCCTCCCCCCGCCTGGAGCAATGGCCCCTTCACCCAGAGCAGCGGGCTCAGGCTTCGGTCCCCCCTCATGGGGTCATGTAGTAATTGTTGTTGTCAGAAGAGAGTCACAGTGCAGTGCAATGAAGTTTGAGAAACCCTGGCTTAGAGCAAAAAACTGAAACTTGGGACTCTTGAGTTTTCTTCCCACTTGTGCCACTGACTGCTGTGTGAAGTTGAGCACACACTCGAGCTCTGTGCCTCCGGTTAGCTAACTGTTAATACCCCTGTGAAGTAGGTATTGTTTTTTATGAGCTTATTTGTTGTTTGTAAACTGCTTTGAGATCATCTAAGAGAAGAATAGTGTTGTTCTAATCAAATAAGAATTCTCTGACAGGAACACACACTGTAATTAAGGGGGTTGTTTAAGTTTAGTTACACTAACATGAATACCACTTTCAAGGGTGATTTTTTCTTTAAACAAATAGTTTTAAATTTATTTGAACTCATTGAAAATAAGTGAAAAATGCTGCTGCCTTTAGGAATTTGCAAGTTCCTAAATTCTGCAGCTGCTGGCTGAGGTTTAAGCTGCCACATAGCTCTTCCCTGAGTTTTTTTTAAGAAGGTTGTACTTGAAAAGTAAAGGTTGGGAGCCTCTGCTCTAGTGCTCTAGTGTGTTACTTCCCTAGAGCAACTCTGGTTTTGAACTGGGTAGCTTTAAATATGACACTCTGGAGCTACTCACTCATCAAATGGCAGCAGTGTGTGAAATTCGAGTCTGTGTCTCATTTGGCTCTTGATCTACAGTCGAGAGCACGTTCAAGGGAGAACAATCTTCCCCAGGGGAAGGGGATAGCCGAGAAAGCACCTAAAATCATTCTCAGACCTTTTCCCTCCTTTCTCTCCTTCCTTTTCCCTCCCTTGGGACTCCAACCCGCTCTGTGGCCCAAGAGTGCTTGATGCCACGGAGCTTTACAGAGGATTGTGGAAGGGAAGTAAAAATAGGGGGATGCTGGAGGGACAATTCAAAGAAAAAAACATAGAATGTGCTGTTACCTTTCTTTGTCATCAAATCCTGTTTTTTTTTTTTCTTGCTTCAGGTGCAGTCATGGAGGAGCAGGCAGCGAAGCATCTTGGTGTGAAGATGTGCAATTTTACTCCAAAACATACACGAAACTTAGCCAATGAATTTCGATGTTATGTGAATTATGATTCTGGACTAGACCATGATTCTAGCTGTTCAGAGTGTACATAAAATAAGCGAAACAGTCTATCAATCAAGTCCATTTATTCCTTCTTTCAGTGATGTCTGCAATCCTCATTGCTTTGTTAAAGGTGTTGCCCCAGGTAATGGTTTCTGGGCTAGCTTTAGACATCTAAATATGACCAACTCTGTAATCTGTTAAATCTGCCAACATTTATAACTGATTTCTTTTGTTACCCTACTTAGGGCTTGTCTTCACATACAGCGAGAGCTCCTGAGGCACAGTTGCACCAATGCAGCTGTAGCGCTTTAGTGAAGGTGCTTCGATGCCGACAGGGGAGCTTCTCCCATCAACATAGCACTGTCTACAGGGTTAGGTTAGTATAACTACATCACTCAGGGCTGTGGAATTTTTCACACCCCTGAGCAACATAGTTATACCAATATAGGTCTGTAGTGTAGACCTGGCCCTAAGTAGATGAATGGGAACTGGTTGGTTCAGATGACTTGGTAGTGGGAGCTTTTCTATTCTAAGTCACCAGTTAGACCTGATCGTGGCCTTTCCCATATGAGGGCTGTTCCATGGGTGCAATGAAGGGGGGTGGGGTCCAGGTGGCCTGGTCCAGCTGCCCCTCCCCCCGGCCATAGATTAATGCTACTACAAATTCACAGTCCCAGTCTCTCCAATTGGAGGGTAGGGAGAGGTTCAAGCCAATTCTGGTCTCTTTGTGGGGGAAGGGAGAGATCCTGAGCTGTCCAGGAGCGGGGTTTCCTGGACGTGGCTCCCTGCTTCCCAGAATCCCAGGCCACTATCTCCTCATGCTTCCTCCTCCTCCTCCTCCACTTTTGCTTCCAGGCTCACTCCAGAAGGAGAGATGGCAGCTCAGTGAGGGCATGCACAACAGTGCGACAGGGAACCTTACGCGTGCCCATGCACACAGGGCTGGATGAATGCATTGGCAAACCAGGCACATGCCACATTTGTTGGAAGGGGGTGGTGTCCCAAAATGTTTTGGTTTTGTGTTTGTTTAACCATGCAGATTCGCACGCAAACTGAAGGAACTTCACTTACTTGAGGAAGTGGTCATGTGCCCTGGCACACACAGTCACATTCGCAGTGTCACTCAAATTTTCCTCAACTGCCCCTCTGTCATAATGAGGGATGGCCAAGCCATATTTCAGTGGGGTTACGACCCCATGTGCCAGGCCACAGCACCACTCACTCAAGTGAGTGAAATTCTTTCAGTTTAGACACAAATCCAAGAATCCTAGAATATTAGGGTTTGAAGAGACCTCAGGAGGTCATCTAGTCCAACCCCCTGCTCAAAGCAGGACCAACCCCAACTAAATCATCCCAGCCAGGGCTTTGTCAAGCCGGGCCTTAAAAACCTCTAAGGATGGAGCACCAGTGGAGGAGTGGGCAGAGACAGGCCTCGCACACAGCTGAGATTCATTTTCTCCTTGGTTCTGTTGGGAATAGCAGAGGACAGCACTGGGTAAAGAAATTGCTTCCTTCTCAAACAGCAGTAAGTGAACAGGCTGGGATGGGAACTTACTGCAGTAATATGTATGGGATAAAACAGCACAGAAGTGTATTTTTTCCCTTCCCATTTATCAGTCAGCTGTTTGTTATTCACATTAGAAGGTAGGGACTCAGAAGTGTGTGTGTGCCTAGGGCCAGTGATGGTTAATTCGGCCCTGCCTCTCAGAATACAATGCATGCATAAAGCGGGGTCCCACTGACAAAGAAATTGTGAACATAGCGCATGTATAGTGAGCTCTGCTTCTTGGCAGGTAATCTGGGTCGCCTTCTTAGGAAAATTCTGGTTGTGCCTCATGGCTGTTCAATGGGCTTGATGGAACGAGTTTGTTGACGCAGTCCAGTTTCTGATCCACAGGTGTCTGTCTCACAGGAAATCACCATCACAATTTGTACTAATTAGTCTCAGCAGCCACCCCAACTAGGCACAAAGACTGATTAATTTTTTTTTCACCCTTAGATATGGTCCCTCCAGAACAGGGGTGAGAGCTGTCTGCACTGTACTTGTTGTGATTGGTCCCTCTGGTTTTCAACCTGGCACCTTTCACAAGCAATAACTATTTGAGTGGAGGGGAAATAGTGATGTCATTGATATATTGTTAAAAGCAGAGAGAGGCCTCTTCAGAAGCAGAACTAGCTAAGGTTTATCAATTACTTTACACCTAACCAGTAATGGGCATAAGTGAAAAGGGATTAATTTGGAATTTGCAGCTGTTACTTTTTAAGGAAATCATTTCATTTTGACATAACACATGCCTGTCAGCTATTGATTCACAGTTTTAAAATTTGTAGTTATTTTTCAACTTTTCTGAATAGTTAAAACAAATCCACACTTTCTTTTATTAGCAAGATGTGTAAATTTTCATTATTGCTTCCCACCTTGTAAGCTGCTCTATGATGAACATCTGCTATTCTGGGGGAAAAGGAAAAAAAAGTTTTATTAAATGGTAAACAACTCTCTGCAGAAATGAAGTGCATACAGTTGGAATGTTCTGTATTAGATTTTTTTTTTAAAGAGCCCATTTTGGGTTCTTAAGTCAAGCATATTACTGTTCCAGGGGAACTGTAAACCTGACATTTTAGTGGGCAAAAAAACTAAAATACTTATTTCCCCATTAGGGGGAGCTTGACCTTCATTACAAATTCTACACAAATGAGGCAATAGCATTTTTGTTTACTGCGGAACCAACCAATATTCACTTTACTGCTTCATACTGTGTTCATATGTTTTCAGTTTGAGCTAGTGTAATAGCTGGGCATAAGTTATCTATGCACTGCACTAATGCTCACAGTGCACCCTGGGGTGTTAAATCACGCACAGCAACTAATCTGGGTAAAGAGATCTGCCAAAACGCTGGCATTATGATTTTTAAAATCAAGGTGAAGACAATTTATAGGGTGAGTCAAGTGTGTAGCTTCAAGAACTTGCTGCTCTATTTCCAAAGTCCCATTTTTTTAATTTTTGCTTCTTATTCCACAAACACATGCATCTTAGAGATTTTTGAGAGGTAGTTGGAACTTATAAAGTTACTGAGGCATAATGGAACCTATTGATAAACTTATACCATGAAATAGATGTAACGTTTTATATTTGTGGAGTTTGGCTGTATTTTCAAAAGTTAAAACAGATAGTAATTAAAAACATTTCTCTTTTAGAATACCAGACATTTTTGGTAATCTGGGAAACTTGAAAAGACAATTTTATCTAGCTCTTTGGCTACACTTATGTAGTAGTCTTCACCCCAAAATCCCAAAGCACTCAATTTTATAAGCTATATATGTACATATCTTCCTGCACACACATTATATATAGGGATTACATTACAAAAAACTACAGTAAAAGAAATGCTAAGATTGAATCAAGCACTCAAAAGTTAGAAAATGTCAGAATTAAAGTTGCCTGGGCAAACTTAATTCAGCCCACTTGTACATGGGTATGCATATGATAGTCTTCAATTACATTATCACATACTTCCTTTTTTCACAGGACCCCGGCCTCATTCACACACTTTATATATTTTTGCAATATGTGAGCATTTGGTATATGCCAGATAGAAACTAAAAGGCGCATATTGAAGGAGAGTGCTGCATGATGTTAAGTTTGAGCTGAGCTCCTGTGCTACTCCTCAAAGCAGTTATCTTCCCCCTTTGTGACAGAGGGACAACATTATTGAGCCCAGCTACGTTCTTTGAATAATGTTATTGTAACACTTTTTCCTTTGTAGATACAGTAGTTCTTCCTATATCAAATGATAGCTCTAGGGTATCTAAATTGGATATTTTTACAACAGTGGTACAAGTGTAAACTAATACTGTAGTAAATTGCCACTTTGCACTCTATCAGCATTAATGCTCTTGTAAAAAGATATAGTATGTATATACCAAATCTCAGTCTTTAGCTATTCTTATGTTACAATGGTAATACAGCAAAACACAGAATGTCCACTAAGTTCTTGCAATGTATTGGGGACAACTTCTTGTTTCAGAAGGTGGAGGGAGTAACCAGGAGGACAGCTATTTTGAGTCTGACCAACAGGGAGGAATTGGTTGCATGTCTGAAGATGGAAGGCAATTTGGGTGAAAGTGGTCATGAAAATATAGATTTCATGGTTCTAAGGGAAAGGAAGGCGTGAAAGCAGCAGAATAAGGAGAATGGACTTTAAAAAAGCAAACTTTAACAAACTCAGAGCACTGGCAGGGAAGAAAATCTAAGAAAGGAGTTCAAGAGAGCTGGTAGTTTCTCAAGGTGACTATTAAATGCACAATTGCCAACTATTGTGATTCTCAGGAAAGATAGGAAGAATAGTAAGAGACCAATATGGCTCCATCACAAGCGCTTTACTTATCTCTCCAGGTGTGGGAGCTTCTCTGGAGATGTTATAAACTGAGTGAATTTGCTTAAGCACCCACTGCTCTTCTCCTATTTACCCTTTCCATTAAATTCATACAATTCCACAATACACACACACAATTGCATTTTTAATGCAATGTACCCAAAATGTATTGAATGTATTCAATAAGGTTTAATTTAATTCAGGATATTGTCTGTCACATGGAGTACAAAAAAATAGCATAAGCAGGTAGGGACAAAATCAGAAAGGCTAAGGCACAAAAAGGGTTAAAAAAGAACTAGATAAGTTCATAGAGGACAGATCCATCAATGGCTACTAGCCGGGATGGGCAGGGATGGTGTCCCTCACCTCTGTTTGCCAGAAGCTGGGAATGGACGACGGGATGGTTCACTTGATGATTACCTGTTCTGTTCATTCACTTTGGGGCACTTGGCATTGGCCACTGTCGGAAGACAGGATACTGGGCTAGATGGACCTTTGATCTGACCCAGGATGGCCGTTCTTATGTTTTTACAAAATGAGTTACGCCTAGCAAGGGACATAAAAGGCGACAAGAAGAGGTTCTTTAAATGTATTAGGAATAAGAGAAAGATGAACTTAACTGTAGGCCCTCTATTTAGTGGGGAAGGAGAGCTAATAACTGATGATGTCAAGAAGGCTGAGGTGTTTAAACCTACAGTA